TTCTCCAAGCAGGGAATTTACTTTTGTCTGGTATACCCCACTTTATACAAAGCTGGAAGACACACAAGAGGGACAGACTGGTTATCTTCAGCCCCAGGATGAGATCAGCCATAGCAGTGTTATTCATGAAATAAGTTTGTTCAAATAGCTCTTTTGGATTTGCAGTGCTGAAAATGCCTAACCATTAGCAATCTGATCTTCTTTCTCCTTGAAGCTGAAAAGGTTGCTGAGTAGAGCAGATTTACTTACTGTGCTTACTGTATTTCGTATCCTATCCTACTCTTTCTTAGTGTATCTCAGGAATATTTTTTTTTGCAACATCATGACATTACTGACTTGTGTTAAGATTTTGATCAACTGTGAGCTCATAAATTCCTTTCCATAAAAATGTCACCTGGTCAGTTACTGTGGTTATCCCCCAGCCTGTGCTTGTGCAACTGGTAATTCCCCACTGAGCTTAATTCCTCCCACTTGAATATCAGCCTATTTTTTTTGAGAATTTATTGGTTATTCAAGATCATTTTCAATTCTAATTGTATCCTTCACTCCTTCTAGAGATTGAATGATATTGTCTGGAAATTTAATAAGCAAACTCCCCTCATTTTTCCCCTCTAGGTCATTAATGAAAATATTGAATAATAACCACAATCAGGGAAAACTTTTGTGAAATTCCATTTGGGCATCTGCAGTCAGGAAGGATTCATAGGGAAGTAATAGAAAATTAGTAGGTAGATAACACCTAATGGTTAAAACTACCTGTGATAAGTCAGTGCACTTTCATGTGAATGAAAACAACTGAAGTTCAAGCTTTAGTATTTAAAAACCCAAAGATGATTGCATCTGTTCTCATCTGAACACTCCATTTCACAAGGGACCCATTCCAAAGCCTGTTAAGCTTAATGAATGGCTCCTATAAATTTCAGTAGGCCATGAATCAGGTTCGAAACAAAAGCTAAATGTGATTCTCCACCAACAATAAAACAAAGTTCTGCAGAAGTCAGCACTTTTATTTTCATTAATTAAATTAATTAATCGACAAAACTAGCCAAATTTTTTTTTTTCTAGAACTATAGGTTTTCACCTAATGATCAAGGAGTAAGTTAAATAAATTTCAATTTTATTATGCAAACATGAAAGAGTAAATAAATATCCCACTCAAACCTAATTACTCAAATTATATCCCGGCATGGTGTGATGGCAGAACTCACCAAAACAGAACCAGGAGTTCAGGGTTGGCCTAGTCCAACTTTCACAGAGTGTGGAATGATAAATAGAAATTAAAGTGTCCTACAGTCTCCAGCAGTCAGATGATTTTTAGGCTAACCTCTTGATGGCTTATCTCCACAGATTCAAAAATAGATTACCTCTATCATGCTTACATGGAGGCTTATATGCCTCTTCTTTGCTTCATCCCAAGGTCTAATTCTGCAGCAGATTTCTATACTACCCTTTATGCATGCTTTGAGTTTCATGACAAAGATCCATGTCTTTTTTTAGTGTGAAGTCCTTTATGTTTGGACATGAACAGAAGAGCAGACACTGCTGAGAGCAGGGCATCCCAACAGTAACGCTGGGCAGGAGACTGCTCTCTAAAATCTGTAGATGATGATACACACAGATGCAAACACAACTATTCTTTTGAGAGGGAAATGAAAGACAGGATGGAATGGAAAAATGCTACTGAGAGACAGGCTTGCATCCCATCTCAGTAGATACACTGCATTTCTCAAAAATCAGTTTCTATTTCACTTGTACTTCCTACAGCTAAGCTTCTAAGTGTTTCATTTTACTGTAATAAGTTTATCAGTAAAAATTATCCCGTTCTGAATTTCAGTTACCTTGGTCATCTCCTTTGGTCTCTTCACCTGACACTGTGCTCTGGTAAGCATTCCTTTGCTTTGGGGTGTGAGATGAGAGCATCAGAAGCATTTGGATGCCTGTTTGCATGGTGTTGAATACTTCTACTACATGCGACAGCTTAGGGAATTGGAGGTCTAGCTGGAAATATGACTTATGTTTTCAAATTCAGAAAAGGAAACACAAAACATGAATCATTTGGGAGCCTTCAACTGGGGCAGTCACTTACCCTGCAAGTAGATGCTGCTGCTCGCTGAGGCCCTCCATGCTCTTGTCCTCCTCACTTGTTCCAACTTGTCTCAGATACTTCAGGGAAAAATAATGAATGTGCCTGTATGAAAGGTGTTTGTTTGCTTAAATCCTCAAGCAGACACCTGCTCTGATAGTAGTAATCTCACCTGAGATTTTTCCAGACTGATGTAGTCTGTTTTATGAACTTTATATCTTGTAGTGGACAGGACCAGTATTGACCTGAGCACCCAGTTCTGTGTTGTCTGAAGTCTTTAAACAGTCTCCCCATGCTACTAATAGACTTAATTAGTGTGTCTACTGTTGCTAAAAGGAATCTTTCTGTATAAGAAAAACAAGAAAAAGTCATAAATACTCAGAGCATTGCAGAGTTTATTTGTGATTTTTAGCTTGCTGCTTCAGCTTTGCTTTAGTTTTACTTTCAGAAAGTACACTTTGAAATTTTTGAATGGAAAAAACTGTAAAAATATGAACACTGGCTCGAAAGGGTGATTAGAGCTGCACCTTACTCAGTGGGACAGTCTCTTTAGAACAGCCCTGAATCCACCCTCTATACGATTCTTTCCACACTGCCACACAGCATACTACCACCATCATGATTTTGCACTCAAGCTTCATCCCAGGGAAGAATGCAACTGGGCCAGAGGCAGGGTTTGTGGTATGTGAGATTCCCTCTCATGTGTTAGAAGTGACATCTAACTTTCTATCAGCTTGGAAAAACGTGCTGACAACTTTATCAGAGAAGAAGTATTTCAGAATAATTCCATGCATGGCAACTAGTTTGTAAGGCAATACCTTCTAAGAAAAATAATGTCCACTGTAGATGGTGAGTGATTTTGTACCAGGTTCTCCATTGAACTGTCTTTTGTTAATGATTTAATGTTAAGAGTCCTGGATAGGTATGCTACAGTTTTCTTCTGACTATCTTTATTAGAATCCTGCATCCCATTACCTCAGTAATACAGACAAGCTTTATGCATCAGGAGAGTGAGTTTTGGTCAGTGATGCTTGCAGCCTCACGAGAGCAAGCAGTCTTTAGCCATACTGTGACATGTTCTTGTACTAACCAAAAATGTATGGATCAGAGCTTGCCTGTGATGTATATGCCCACTTAAGTTTGTTTCTGTTTTGAAGCCATTTCTTAAGGAAACAAACATCTCACCTGATCAAACTGCCAGTCTGCCCACAAACCTCTCCTCACAGGATCTCTCCTATTGGTTGGCTGCTTCAAGAGGCAATCAGCTTTCTAAAAATTAAAAACTCAGCAGCTCAGTAGTGCAGACTGTTATTGTCTTCCAATTAAAGAGAAGACCCAGCTGACATCTGGTTACACATTAGGCTGTCCACACAGCTCAGCAGTTTGTGTAAGTGTTCCCACAGAGAAGAAGCTTTCATCAGAGTTTACATCTCTGTAGAGATACAGATCTTTGTTGATTGGCATAAATCCAGGAGGAATGAAACACCATCTGATTTACCCATGTGCATTTACCTGTTCAGATAATGCCTGGGGGCAATGTGACTGAAATTCTCTCCCCTTGGCTCAGGCACCTCTGCTCTGACTGCCATCAGTTCTACCCTGCATGTATCCTCCAAATGGGGTTCCAGGCACTTACATAGTAATCTTGTAGGAAAGGGAGATATCCCACTCTTGTCCCTTCCTACTCTCCCCTTCCTCTCATAAAAGGGGATTTCCTGCACATTACATGGGGACTCGAACCCTGTACAAAGGTAGTCCTGGAAGTACACTGACAGGATCAAGCTGGGGAGGGACCCAGCAGGGTGGCTGGGTGACACTGAGCCTGAGGGCGTGCAGAAGATCACATAGAGGCGCTTGGTCCTTTAAAGTGTAGTGCCTACCTGTGCATACCAGGTTTGGCAGCAGCCACGTGCCCACATTGTGTTTCCTGTTCTTCTTCTCTGCTAGTATTGTGCTTTCTGGGAATACAAGCTGTGCTTCATAAGGCACTGAAATATCAAATAGAGAAATCCATGCTGGCAGGGGATGCAGCATAGCAAACGCAGCCTTCAGATCTACTTGTAAGGAAGTTCCCTGCCTCTCCCACCTGCTGAGTACCTTCCCACAAAGGCGCAGCCTGAGATCATACAGAATTTTCAGCTCACTCGAAGCCTCTGTAACATCGCCATTTCACTGAGAAGGAAACATTTACCATAAAGGCTGAGCACAGCTCAATTTAGAAAAGTAAAAACAGTCAGGCCAGAGGTGGGGTAAGGGATGAGTATCAGATTTAGTCTGACTCCTACTAGCAGGGGAGGTGTGGCTAAGTTCTGTGCCAAAAAATGTATCTAGTAGATGCAGTTATTGCTTTGCAATGCCTTCTGTGCCTGTAGAAACACGATAAATTATATGAAAGTATTTGTAACATAGGTTTCTTGAACAAAATCTGGCTTTACAAGTGTACTTTACCCCGTTGCCAAATGACAAAATTCAGATATCTTATTTTAAACACATTGCAGACAGTGAAATGTGTGCTTGGAACAAAATCAGAAATTGCAATTCATTGAGAATTTTACAAAATACTGAAAATTATTTTCTTTCACTCCCCCCCATTTACACAGTGAGAAATAACAATATTTTCTTCAGTTTCTTTATTTTATTTTAAACTTCTGCTAATTATGCTATCAGCATCTTGGTAGCAAGCCAGCAATTAAATTACAAAACAAAGTTGTCTCTTTGCTATGAGATTGCACAATCAATCAAAACAAAACAGAGAAATACCACCTAAAAAAAAAAAATGTCAACTAAGACAATCAGCCATAGTTTATTCTTGGTTTTCATCTTTTGGTTTTTTTTAAGTTTAATTTTAAAGTATTGAATTTGATAGCCTATCATGCCTAAAGAGCATTATCAGTTTCTCCTGTTGCCTGCAACTGTGTTACGTAGTATTACTGAAAACAGGAAATATCTGCCAACAGAATGTTTAAGAATAGAAATTGCTGAGGCCAAAGGTGGAAAATCTTTCATTCTTATCTTTATTTCAGCTTGGATGTATTTATAACAGACATTTTACATCCACTCTCTGACACGTCATGGTGCTGAATAGAAATTACCTTGGGATACTGAGTTGCAGAGAGGTGAGAAAAAGATATGTGCAAACTTAGCACCTCAGCTGATGATTAGAAGTCCATCAAATTTCTTACCTGACTCATAAAGTGAGAGAAAAGAAAAACTAATATCTGCCACAATGAGTGAAAATTAGCAGGGCCTGACATGAATGTAAATGCTAGCCAGGTGGTGATTTAACATCTATAAAATATTAGGAACTCTCACATACCATGTGTTTTGTAACTGGGCACACAGTGGTTATTTAGAACAGAGGCAATCTCCACATCACAGTTTTGAAGTGCATTTTTTTTCATCTAGGTATAGCATCAGGTCAGACTGATTTTTGGCTTTTCTGTGTTGTTAAGGAAGAAGGGAGAAAGAATTAGGCAGGACTAGAAACAAATATATCACACCTACATTTAAAATGGTGCCCTCAGCAAGTGCAGACTTTCCAGGATCCAAGTCTTTCAGAGATCACAGAGCTTTTAGAACTTTTTTTCCTAACAAATACATGTTTTGTATTTGTTGATGATGACTTGTTTTCATGTGTTTTCAACTCATTCATCCTTCCAAACATTCTGTGCTTGGCTAAAAAGGAAACTGACTGCAGCTGTTCCCACAGGTCAATGGCTCTGTGCGTCATGTGCTGTAGGTGTGCAGTAGATGTGACCCAGTGTCAAGGTGGGCGTCAGAGCAGCAGACTGCTGGAGATCCCAGGAGGAGAGCATGACACCGACAAATTGCACTAGCTGCTGAGCAGAGGATGTGTCACTATATGTGTAAGAGATACCTATGCCCTGCAGAGAAGTCCTGCCCTGAAGCTCTCTGAGATATATTTGTCCCAGCGCAGAGGAGGCTATGAGGGATTAGCAGTGTGTCACCGCGTGCAGCACAGTGAGCAATGGTACGCTGTGTTTGACAAGTTTTTTTTCCTGTTCAGCTTTCTTCTTGGATGAGCAAATTAAATTCTGATTCAGAGTGGCAGGATTTGCAGTACCCAAAGCGAACACACACAGCAGACAGTGATATTGGCTCTTACTGCCATTCTGAGTACCGATTTCTTACCAATTTGGGATTCCCTCCTTGAGATAGCCTGTTTCCATTGCCTATATCAATACCTCACCCCTGGGGCTTTTCAGGAATTTCACTTTGAGAGTAGTTCATCTACTTGAAGAAAACTGGCAATGGCTACAGGGAAACATCAGCAGCTTGTCAGCTCTGCCAGCAGCATGGCACTCACCTGGAGGCTGTGAGAAGGGAATGTTGTGCAGGAATTTGTTTGCAACAGGCAAGGTCTGCAGGGAGAGGCAGCAACTTCACTCCAGGATTACTTTAACGGAGAAGAAAAATCCTCAGTCTTGTTTTCTGTCATATAGATCTGATACTCAGGTATGATCATTAGAGGAAAAAAAAATATATATCTCTGAAGTCTGCAAGGGAGGAGACCAAGGGGTTAAAAGCATGTGAGGAGTGTGCAGCAAGGGGAACCAGCACAGAGGAAAAAGCTGTTCTGATGCAGTTCTGAGCATCACAACTTCTTTCCTTAGTTTAAAACCTGACCATAGACTCTTGGATTTGGGGTCAGGAAAGCAGCAGCTTTTATGCTTGTTTACACTCCTGAAAGTATTCTCTTCACCTTTCCCTTTTGCCTTTGCTCATTGCAGCCCTTCCACTGCACTTCTCCACAATGCAAATCTCAGGGGATGGCAAAACTGGGAGAGGCAAGAGCTGGCAAAGCAGGGGGAGCCATTCCAGCTGTGCTCAGCCCTCTTCCGATTGACTGCCCACAAGAATATTTAATAACAAGGTATACTCTTAAAAAGAAGAAGAGGATGAAGAAGAAAAAAAAAAGCTTTAGAAGAAGACTGCAGAGCTCAGGAGCAGTGTTCAGTGTAGACAGGAATACACTCTGCTCTCTGAGTGCACAGCGTGCTGAAGCATTTCTCCGCACCGTAACTCACAAAAACACTGCTTCCAACTTCGCATTATATGGCACATGTGAGTTTCACAGTAGCCCCTGCCACCCTGTCAGCTGCCTCCCACCTCCCTTATTTCCTCTCCCCGGTCTTGCTTATTGCCAGGTGACACCCGCAAATTCCAAGAGGCCTCTCTGCCCGTAGCAACTGCTTGCCCCATGAACACGCAGTGTTACCCTCGAAGGAGTTCGGGCAAGGAAGGATCCCCCCGGGGTCACCGCGCCGAAGAGCACACACCGGGGGGCGCTGCGAGCCTGCGGCACAGCTCCGGGGGTCGGACAGGAGGGGAGCCGGGCAGCGGAGCAAAAGGATTGGAGGTGGGATGCGGGGCAGCTCGCTCGCCCCCGATTTAAGGGGGCACGGCTGAGCGCAGCCGCTTGTCCCAGAGCGCTGACGACAAAATAAGAAAACAAATTCCCATCGCCCACTTTCTAAAGAAATCTGTGGCGTTCCTGCTCCCCGACAGCAAAAACTGTTTCAAAGGTGCTTCCCGGCCCCGCCCATGCTGTGTTCCTTCTCCACCCGGGAACGACGTTTCCGTGTCACCTCTGCTCACTGCGCTTGTCCCTCCTGCCCCATCCCGCAGCATTGCGCACTGGAGCCGTCGGCTTTTGCACCTGCGAACGTTCCGCGGCAGTGTTTTGCTTTTCGCAGTCTGAAAGCCGGGAATGTCGCAGTGCTGAGCCGCAGGTGACTCCCACGAGAGATGCCCGTCACCCGTCGGCGGCAGCTGCAGCACTCCGAGCACAGAGCTCCAGGGGACTGTCCACTGTCCGAAGAGAAAGGCAGATTCCTGGTTTGTTTCAAACTCTACAATTATAAAATGGAGTTTCCTCATTTGGAGTGCTCCGGTAAAGCTCCTATCACTTGCTGCTATTTCCCTAATGCCATTCTGAAAAAAAAGGAATCATTTCAAGCAGCAGTTAGAGAACCACAGAACTGGAAATGCAGGAATTTTCCTCAGCGACACAGGTTTTCTGCATGCATACTTTTCTGAGATGTAACAATTTCCCCATCCACTCAAGCTCAAGATAACCAGCTACCTGGAAAAGTTACCACTCAAACAGTCAAAAACTCGGTGTTAAATCAGTTATATGCTTTTCTCCACATAAACACTGAGGATTTAATATATATATATCTTTAGAACAATGAGCTGCAATGGAGCAAGCTGAGAAAACATTTACACTGAGAAAGGTGAGGTTGCTCCTGTGCAGCAAAAGAGGACCTCTTACCACACTCTGTGGGAGTGTGCACAGCCACACACCCAATCTGTTCACACCTTTTTCTGCCTCCTTCTTCCCATAGCTGGAGCAGAGGTCACTCCATAGAACGCAACTGGAGCATGGCAGGGTTTGGCAAGTGCCTACCTGTAAGCGTTTGAGATTGAAAGATCGGTTGTGCCGCATTCAGCACCTTTGCAGTTGGGAAGGGGCTGGGGCTGGATTGAGCACTACATTCACAAACTCAGGGTGTAGTCTTTTACTTCTGCGGCCCTAGGCTGGAGGCAAAGAAGAAGCCAGCAGCCCCTGGTCCCGGTTCAGGCTGGAAGTGGTGTGGAAGGCACCGAGCAGGGAGGAAGTAATGCTGTGAATAGCTCCGACTGTGTGCATCTCCCGTCTCTGGTCTATTGAAAAGTTAAACAGGAAAATGACAATGAAAAGGCAGAATCATGGGAAAACGGGGCGCAAAATTTGATAGACATTGCCACGAGCTTGAAGGGGAGAGACTTAAAAGGTCAGAGAGCAAATGGGAATGGCCACAATCACCAGCGGGTGGCTGGAAGGTACGATGATGGAAACCAGTTTGACCCACAGGTCAGCAAACTGGTTTAGCTCTACCTTCATCTGCACAGAGCCAGACAAGTTCCCGGCTGCTATCAAACAGCTCAATGCCCTTATCTGGAGGGGTTTAGTAAAAGGAAATAAATGACCAAAAGGAGCTATTCAATCTTCAAGTGCCGGGCTTTGCTGCTGAAAGAAAGAAAAAATTTGTGTTCTTACAGATCCCAGAGAAACACGGCAGCTCCTTCCCTGGAAGGATGAGTTTGCCACTGCTCCAAAACAGAAAATTGGGCTCCTAGCCAGTGGCATTTAGTGGCTGTTCCTTCAGAGGGGATATTGGAGAAGTAGCACTGGGGCCATTCGTCTGTTTCCTTTTCATTTGGTGCCCATAAGGAATAAAGTAGCACGCAACAGTGCTTCTCACTCCCACAGTGGGAATCTGGTGCTGGTACATCGCTGCATTTCCACAACATTAAATTAATAATGATAATAGTAAAGAGAGGAAAAAATGCAAAGCAAACTGTTGCTTTGCTTTCATAGAAAACTTTGCAGGCCCCCGATGGCTGCATCTGTAATGACACACATTCAGAACGCAGCTCAGAGAAACTCAAGCAGAGCAAATCCCGGTTCCGATGCACCTTAAAAGTCCCTTCCGAGCCTTATAACACTCATAGCTCCCAAGCCCAAGTGCACTGGAGCCAAGCACGCTGCATGCTTTTGCTACATGTTTTAATGCTGCTGTAGGGCTGTCACAGGAATGTGCTTCCCTGTATCCACACAAAGATCTTTCTTCTATGCCAATTTTAGGCTCTAACCCCAATCTCTCAGCACACCAATGATGTGCAACATGAGGGGCCACATTTCCCAAAGGGAATGACATATTCTCCCTGATGTCAAGGTGCTAATGTAATGCTCTTGAGATTCACTTCAAAAACACAAAGACAACGCTTCCCAATCAAGCAGGAGGTGGCAGGTTTAACTCCCCACTCCCCTGCACCTCTGTTCCCAGCTCAGGAAGTGCTCTGATAACGCCAGACACCCCACCCTCGCAACCCAAAACGTCCCAACCCCACCGTCTGTCCCACTGGGGCTGCGGGAGTCACCAGTCCACATGGCACAGCTCTGCCCATGACCACCCAAACCTGGCTCCAAGTATAGAGCCACCAAGCTCTTTTTAAAGAAATAATTATCATTCGAATTCCCGCATCGCATTGGCCTTTCTCAATGTGAGAAATGATTCTGAAAATTTAAAATAAAAAAAAAAAAAAAGAAAAAGAAAGAAAGAAAAGAAAGATGAAAGTAGTGTTGCTGCTTTTTCTTTAGCTTCCTCTCCTAGCGTGCCAAGCAGAATGCCAGCACGCTCCTGGTGCTGCCCCAGTGGTGGCACAGCCTACAGCGGCTTTCAGTTCCTTGAGTTTCCCCTTTGGAAGAAACTTTGAGAACTATGTGTGCCATAGGGCTCAGAGCATAGCACTGCCCACGACGGTGAAGTGAGAAAGAAGGAAAGCAAAGAGCTGCCTGGGATAGAATGTTCGCTCTGGAGTTTATTAATACCATTTAAAATATTACAGATAAAAATCAATTACATTTCATGCATTTAAAATGCAAATCTAAAATGTTCCAGCGAAGGGCTTTCCATTTCAATGTGAAATATCCAAATTATTTCAACATTACAATGAGACAATTAGTTTGCAGCAGGGCAAACTGCTAATGTGGTGTCAGGAGTGTTTATTAACATTTATCAATATTATTTTCAGGAAATACACATAGGCCAACGTTAGTTCAGTTTCACTCGGACAGTTTATTAATACATGGGTTGTGGCAAACCCACTTCAGGAACTAGAGGAGAACTCTCACTGTGACTATACCTGAACTGCCAGCAAATGCAAATAAGTACATGCTCCATTAAATTAAATGTCATTCAACATTTATCAAATATTGTTTGCTTAATTACAGTTGTATGCCTACCTAAATTAATATTCAAGCAAAACCTATATCCTGAAATGCGCTTTGATGGACGCTCCAGGAAATGAGTCCAGAAATAAAACTGAGCAGGGCTGCACTGGTAATGCTTTCTCGTGGCAGGAAAAGAAATATTTAGAAAAATAAAATAAAAACTTAAAAAAAAAAAAAAAAAAAAAAAAAGCTCGAGTGTACTTCAATATATTTCCAAATATTTACTGGAAGTAATGTACAAGAAAAATACTATACAAATCGTCTCCTGGACAACTGCACCTCACACCGATACGTTGGTGGAGTCATTGTTACTAATCTAGAATGATTCCCCATGGTACAAACCTAGAGGTTCTGATGTATTTTACAAATATTTCCACTTTCCTCTCCTCCCCCCCCACCCCAGCCTCTCTCTTTTTGGCATTTAAACCGCAGCTCCGCTCACAACCAACGCTGTGTTTATTTTTATGGGGTTTAAAAATAGGGGACTTGAAACCTAATTATTGCCAGCGGGTTTCGCGATTCCCACTCAAGCGGGAATGATCCAAATGCGCCGGAGAACACAAAAACGTTTGGATGCGGGGAGGTAAACGACTGAAAGGGGGGAAAAAAAAGAAGGGAGAGCACCGTGTCTCCGCGGTCTCCGGGAGCAGAAGGGCTTTTGGCAATCACCGAGACGAGGGCTGTCCCGACGGGAAGGAGAACCGACGGCGGGCGCTGCTTTCGCAGCCCGGCGCGGAGCCCCCGCCACGGGAAGCGCCCGACCGCGGCCCCGGGACGCCGCTCCCGGACGGAAGCGCTGCGGTTTCCAGCGGGAGAATCGTGGCTTTTCCCACGGTGCGACCCGACAGGGGGTCCCTAAGGAACGGAGAGGGCAGGGGAGGCGGCCCCCGGCGGAGCTCCGCCGCCCGACTGGTGCGGTGCGGGGCCGGAGCGCGCTCCCCACGGGGCCGCGCGGGTACTTACGTGTCCGCGTCCCCTGCGCGGCGCGGCGCCGCCGTCACTCGAGGCCGTTGCGGTGGCCGGGCTCGGGGGGCGGCAGCAGCTCCGGGGAGTGGCAGGGCGGGCTGCCGGCCGCGCTGTGCTCGCTGTCGGTGTCACTGCCCTTCTTGCCGCCGGGGCCGGGACCGGGACCGCCGCCGCCGGGTCCCCCGGCGCCTCCGGGGCCGCTGTGGGTCTTGACGTGCTTGCTGAGGTGGTCGCTGCGCATGAAGCGCTTGTTGCAGACGGGGCAGGCGAAGCGCTTCTCGCCCGTGTGGGTCCGCAGGTGCCGCTGCAGCTCGTCGGAGCGGGTGAAGCGCTTGCCGCAGAACAGCCAGTTGCAGACGAAGGGCCGCTCGCCCGTGTGCCAGCGCAGGTGCGCCTTCAGGTGCGACGTCTTGCCGTACACCTTGCCGCAGCCCGGGATGTGGCAGCTGTGCAGCCCCTTGCGCCGCAGGCTGGCCCCCGCCGGCCCCAGCCGCTCGGCCTCCTGGCAGTTGGGGCAGTCGCAGGTGGCGCGGCCAGAGTAGCGGCGGGCGGAGGAGCGCGGCGATGCGGAGAGCGGAGCGGCGGGGCCGCCGCCCAGCATGGAACCCCCGGCGCCGGCCAGCGGCGACGGGGCCGAGTCCGGGTAGGAGCCGGGCAGCACCGGCTTAAATCCGTCCATGAGGTGCTGCCCGGCGGGGCTGAGGAGGTGCGAGGAGGCGCCGCCGCCGAAAGCAGAGTGCCCGAGGCCCGAGTAATCCGAGTTGTAGCCGCCCAACGGCGAGTGCAGCGAGGACTGGAGTCCGCCGGCCGCGGGGTGCAGCGAGCCGGGCAGCGCGGCCGCCCCGTTGGGGCTCTGCACGTCGATCCAACCCGCGCCCACGTCCCACCAGCTGGAGGCGCCCGCCGAGCCCACCTCGCCGGCCGCCAGCCCCGGGTGCGAGGGCTTGAACCACGACTCGTAGGGGTGCGCCATGCCCACCCGCGGGTAGATGCCCTGCAGCCCCTCCACCGACGCGTGCACCTTGGAGATGAAGACGGGCTGGTGAGCCGACTCCTGCCCCGCCGCCCCGCCGCCGCCGCCTCCCCCGCCGCCGCCACCGCCGGCGCTGCCTGGCGCCTGGAACACGGAGTAGTCGTTAGCGAAGGGCGAGCTGGCGGCCGCCGCGCCGCTGGACGTCAGCGAGAATGCGCTGGAGCCCGGAGAGCCGCCGCAGCTGAACGAGTCCGAGACGAGCGCGGCCGCCGCCGCCGCCGCCGCTGCCGCCGCCGCCGCCGAGGAGCCGTTCCGCGCCGCGCCCGCCACGCCGAAGCCCGGGAGGCCGGAGCCCACGGCACCGCAGCTGCCGGCCGAGGCCGAAGAGGAGGAGGAGGAGCGTTTCCAGGGGTGGAAGCCTTTGCCGAAGGAGGACGCGCTGTCCGAGAGGGCGGACGGCGAGGGACTGGGGCTGCCGATCTTGTTGCAGGTCGCGGCGAGCATGGCCAGCGGCGTGGAGCCAACCCGCGGTTCCTCCTGCGGGCACAGAGGGGACGGGGGCGTCCCGCCGGCGTCAGGCACCGAGCGGTACCGCCACCGCCATCCGCCCGCCCGCCGCCCCGGCCCGGCCCTGAGTCCCGCGGATCTGCTGCCGGTCCTCCTGCCCCGGGAGCTCGGGGGAAAGAGAGGGGGAGGGAAAAGTTGCTTCTGGTGCCGCAGCTTTGATATAGCTTAAAAGCTGCCACCAGCCCAGCGGCGGCTGCATTCGTGCCGTTCCCCTCCCAGGGACCCGGCGCTTCCCGGTCCTCGGGGCAGATGGGGTGGTTCGTAAGTAGTGAAGCGCCGGCTTATCAAATAAATAATTAAAAATAAATAAATAAATTGAAAAGGCTTCCTTAAAGAGCCTCACGTACCAACCGTAACTAAATATATACATAAATTTTACATCTGTACGTATACACAAGTTGAACATACCTGCTGGACACGGCGGGCTGTGTTATTTTAAAGGGAAATAAAAAGCCACACTCGGTTGCAAATTAGAAACTGCGCCCTACAGAAGCGGCGGTGCCGGGGTTTCCCTTCCAACAGCAACATGTGCGGAGAAAGGCCGCGGTGCGGGCACAGCGCGCAGCCCGGGTGCTGGGGGCTGTTCCTACAAATGCCCTTAAACCTTTTCCTGTGCGCTGCAAAGTGACTCTGCCCCTTTTCCCCCTCTCGCTCTTTCTTTTCTCCGAAACTCACTTGTACTTAAGTTAAAAAAAAAAAAAAAAGAAAAAAAAAAAAAAAAAAAAAAAAAAAGGGAGGAAAAAAAAAAAAAAAAAAAGGCTCAATAGAGGAGACTGATAGCCCCGGTCAAGACAGGGGTTATTTTAACCCCCTCCAATCGACAATAAAAAGAAACTAATTAAACCAGCAAGAGAAAAAATCCTTAGACTCACCCCTAGAAGTGAAGTTGCCATCACACAAAAGTGCCCTCCTCTCAGAGGATCTTTTTTATATTGATAAATCAGAGGCAGTGTTTTTTTAGAGGTGTGCAATACAATGCTCAGTTCCGCCCATTCCACCACAATTGTAGCTCCCTCGCCGGCTTTGAAGTGCCGCTGAGCCGCCGCCAGCCAATCCCCGGCCCCGCCGCGCCGCTCGCCGACGTGACTGCGTGAGGTCATCAGCGCCGTCGAGCACGGCCCGGCCCGGCTCGGCTCTACCCGGTTCGACTCGGCGCGGTTCGGTTCGGCCAGGCGCGGTCCGGTCCCGCGGCCGGAGCGGTTCGCCCCGCGTGAGGCCCCGACGGAGCGAACGCCGCCCCTCGCCCCGCAGCCCCGGGAAGGGCGGCCCTGAGCCGTCCTCGCTCGGGCTGGTTGGTCCTGGCCGTCCCTTCCCACCCCTTCGAGGTGTGAGCGGGGCTGCTTGGATCTGTTCGCATTTCTGTACCGTCGCAGCGGTGGCAGAGCGCGGGAGCATTGTTCCTCCGGTTCCTCCGCACCGTCCTCCCTCTCCCGTTCCCCCCGTCCGCAGCTCTGGGCCGGGCTCCCCTTGCCCCCCCACGGCCGCGGCTGCCCCCGGCCCGGCCCGCGATCTCTAGTAGAGAACCCCGCGGTGCGTTCGCGTCGTGGGGGCAGATATCCTTTCCCCTCGAGCTGTTCCGAGGGAATATCGACTGTACATCATATCTATTGATCGGGGGGTACCGTACATTATCATACTTTGAAGCAAGAGCGAAGTAAATTAATGAACTGCTTTCTTTCTCTGAAGGCTGACGGTTACCATAAATGTCGCGTTCCTCTCTGACTGATTTTCGCCTGTTGAGAAGGCGTGACAGGGCCAGCCCAGGAGGAGGAAGGGGTGGGGGAAGGAGGGAACTCCGTTTAACAAATAAAAAAGAATTAACTTCATTACTTTGGTCTCCTTCTATAATGATATTCATTTTACAGACCTAATGCACACTTGTTTAAATTTCGGGTTTAATTTAATCAATACTATCACCCGCAAAGGGGGGAAGAACATTTCCCGGAGATACTCCCTTGCATGAATGCTTATTAACTTTTTACCTCCGCTTCCTTTATCTGCTGGAGGTGGGGAGGAACTATTAAGACATAGATCAGAAAGCGTAAGAGCAAAACAAGCATCGCGAGCGCTACATTTTAGAGGCACAGAAAATCCCATTTTGCGGCGTGCCAGGTTCCGCTTAGAGACCGACACGCGCTCCTTTCAGCCCCGGAGCGCGCAGGGTCGGCACTGCTGATGAATCTCTCGAGGAAAGCCGCTCCGGGTGGCTCTTCCCTTCGGCTCCGCGTTCTGCCCGCACACGGCCCTCACTCGGGCTTTTCTGTGCTTGTTTTAAGGCTCGCCCCGGGTTTTTAATTTGGGGCTGAAAGTTGTGGATTTTCAGCGCGCTTTTCCTTTAAAAGCGCCGCGCTGGAAATCGTGAAAAAACTAGTTGTACGAATAGTCGTGGGAGTTTGTACGAGGGAGCTGAATACAGAGGGAGGAAAAAGGCAAATCCATCAGAACTGAGGAGAAATCACAGCAAGTGCTGTCAGTGGCTTTCTCCTGTCGCTCCGAGTTTCACTGAAACTGGGAAATCAGCAGCTGCTGAACTTTGTGAGCGGTAAGCCGCTCCGCCGCCTTCCTCTGTGCGTCTGGCGATGCTGGGTGGGCGCAGGATTTAAGAAAGCGTAGGGTTTGGTTTGCATTGCCTTACTGACCACCGCACTTGAGGCTGCAGTCCATCAGCTTTGCGAAGCGGGGTTGGGGGGAAGAGGAGGGAGAGAGGCAACAAGCAGAAGTTTTCCCGAAATTAATTAAAACTTTTTTTTTTTTTTTTTTTTTTTTTCCTTTCCGTTTGAAGTGTAATGTACGGGAGTAGATAGATGTTCGCACTGTTTCTTGAAAACCTGTGGGATCCACTCTCAATAAAGCTACAATCTATTAGCATTCTGTATGCATCTGCAGCATAAATTTCATTTGAATTTCAAATTTAATAAACCAGGAGGTTTTTAATCATCCCTGGTTTTATTTGTTTGATATTAACATGCTTATTGACCGGGTCTGTTGACCAGTTTGATCATTACAGGACAGCAAAAAGTTAATTAAAACGACCACAGCTCCTTAATCATATCATCTGTCTCATCCGTGTCGCTCCCTTTATTACAGCCTATGATGGATAGTCTCCCAGATTAATTTCTCTGTTTCTTCGATTTGGACAACAGCTTTTGGGACCTAATTTACATCCCGGGAACAACTTGCCCAAGTCTACCGAACATCTTGTGCCTACAATATCCATTAGCAAGTGCCGAACTTGAGCCGCGCCAACAGCCTCCGCGAACCTTCGGGGTTGGGCTATGGGGGGGTTCCTCGGAGATACCCCCCGGCGCTCCGCTCGCAGGGAGATGGATGGATCCTCTTCCAGGGTCTGGTCCGCCCGCAGACAGCTTTGCGGCGTGGTGAGAGGTTTCTCTTTGGGGAAGGAGAGGTCTCGCTGCCTATTTGCAAAGGCAGAGCTGGAAGGATTGAAGTGCCCGCTGCCCACGCCGGATGGTGAATGTCAATATTAGGAAGCAGCACGGCATGTCCTGCGTGTGGTTACGCTTACACCGCCGGGTCGCCGCGTTCCGCCTCGGCCAGCACGCGGCTTCTGGCCCCGTTCCCGTGGGCAGCACGGGGGAGCTCCTTCCCCGCGTTGCCCGGGCCGTGCTGCCCCGGGATCCGGGCCCCGCGGTGCCCCTGCACCTGGCATTGTCACTTGCGGCATTCCTTGACCGAGGGGTGACAGCAAACCCCTAGCCGGGCTGGGATAGGGATTACCACGTCAATGAAACCAAACGTCCGGAGAAGAGCGTGAGGTGCCGAGCGGGCAGTGATGGTGGTTAACGCCGTTATTAACCATCGCTCACACCGCTGCGGTTCACCTGCGACGTTCCCCATTGTCCGGCTGCGTCGTTTCGTCGGACTGCAGCTGGAAAAACGTGTACCGGCACCAGCGGACCCCGTGTGTGCGCGGGTGCTGCGTTCATTGCAGCGCGGGGTTCCGAAGTTAATTCATCCGTCATTGCAAAAGTGTGTTCAGGTACTGCAACCCCTGCCCCAGCGCCGGGCGGCCTGGCTGCTCCATGGGCTGCGGGCAAGGAGAGACGGAGCGCTTTGTGGGGGGCTTGGGAGGGGAGCACACGACAATCCCTCAATGTTCCTGTCACTCGATAGCCGAAAGCTCCGTGCACAAGTGTGCGTGCCTGGGGAGGAAGAGGCATCCTCCATCCGCGTCTCCCCCTTCCTCTCCCTTTTTCCTCCCATGCCAGTTCGCCCCCCCAATATTTTATCTCCAATTCCCGGTGCTTCCCGGGAGCTCCCATCAGTACCGGAGCAGCGGAGGGGACAGCGAGCACCAGGCGCTGCCACCCGCGGGCACTGCGCGCAGCCCCGCGCCCCGCTCCTGCTCCCAATAGATTTGTTTAAGGCGCATTCTGCTTTTCTTATTATCCATCACTTTCTCCCAGGCGCCACTTACAGTTAAAAACTACTAAATTCTTCTCTTCGGTGGTATTGATTTCTTTTCATTCTGCTCCGTTAGGAGAGGAGGTAATGCTTCCAGATTACCCCGCGTCTCCTCCAGACGGTTGACAATTGCAATCGCAGTTTCGGGAAGATAAATGTTACTTTGGGAATTGTGTTTAATTACAAATAATCTGGGACCCGCTCCGTGTCCGATGGTTTAACCACACATGTGCTCAAATCATTGTAGGAGCAGTACAGGCGGGTGGCGATGTACAGTGACTGCCTGAGAGATCGGAGTGCAGGGCAAGGGCTCCCACTGAAGCAGGGTCGCGCCCCGAAATGCTGTTGCTCGTGTAAAGGTGTATATAATTGTGCATACAAATGCTCGTTCCCGTGTGCGTGTGCACGCGTATGTGTGGGTGTGCTTGGACACTTGAAAATACACGGTCTGAGAAAAATCAGTCTGAAGATAACACAGGAGAGAAGGAATGATTTCTACGAACGTATGTATGTATTGATTTCTATATTCTACCAACTACCAACAAAAAAAGTGGCAATTTGGAAAAAAAAAATAATAATATATCAAAGCCACACTACGTTTCTTGCTGCCGTTTGCGAAGTGCGAGAAGCCCCGCTGCTCCGAGCGAGCCGTACCTGCGGGCGAGCAGCAACGTCTGTCCGCGGCGAGCGCGCACTGAGACTGCATCGCAGCTTCCTCTCGTTCGGAGCTCCCGCGATTTGACTCGAGAGACCCTAATATTGATATATTTACTGCTCCTCTTACAATGTACCCGCCACCTTCCCCTGTCGCTATTTGCAGAGCAATTAGGTGGCCCCTCGTCGCTCCCCCAACCCGGCAGCTGATTAGCGGGGCTGGGGGCGGGTTGGGGGGGGGAGGGGTGGCAGGAGGGCAGCGGGAAGGGGACAAGGTGGCGAGCAGGTTATTCCCTTCACCTGACCTGGCTGAAGGAGCGAGATGAGCAGCACTGAACAGATGTCCCCATTTAAGCCATTCTTTTCCCACATGCCCGCTGGATGCTGCCACGGCGCAGGAAGCTTGCTGCAGACCTGGCCCATTCCCGGCCATTATGGCCAAGTTATTCTGGACCAGTGAGCACGAACAAAATGGGCTTCAGATCGCGTGCTTTAGAATAATTCGACTCCGCGCCCCGGCAAAGCCCCCTCCCTCTATTTTTTTAAGTCTTGGGTGGGGAGGAGGGGGGACAGGGACGCGTTTCGGCTCCGATCGCAGGAGAAGAACTTCTCAAAAGATCGTTAGCTCCTTCCTCCCCCGCTCTCTTCGGCAAATATGGTATAATTTACAGAGCAACTTAATAATCCGAGGGGCACCGCAGAAGCCCTTTGCGTTGTAAACCGCTTCTAATTACCTGCCAGAGCAATTAGCTGACTATCACGAAGAAATTAGATCGCTCAATGTAGCATAAATAATGTGAATAATTTTGTAAGGAGAATGGAAAGCGAGACCTGGTGTTTCTTTATAAGGAAATAACACCTCGTACTGTACGAACCCTACATGAACACATATTAATGTCTAGGCATGCACGGAAATGAATCCGAACATGAACCCTCTGGCTTAGATTCAGCACTTTCTTCATTTACATACGCGGGGTGAAAGTCGGCTTCCAGGCGTTTAGATACAGCGCTCTTCCAGATC